TTTCTTAACATGAATGTAAGTTTGGGATTGTGATACTGGCAGACAAATTAAGAGAGTATCAAGCTTCCAGTCTACTGTAAAGGTAAACTCCTAAGCAAATATGGGTTTTTATGGTAATCTCTTTGCTATTTTTTTCAAATTAAAAAAAAAAATCAAAAATTTTCCTCAACAAAATGGTTTAGAAATTTGATGGAATTACTTCTCTGGGCTTTAAAAATTATTTCATTTATACACACCTATAGCCATTTTCATGGCTATATAAAAAATATAATAAAAATCTAATATAATAGGGAATAGTGTCAAAAGCTTAAAAATGATCCTTCAGTCAGCTAACCCTGACCCTATTGTGCATGGCCATCCTGGGAGTCTTCAGTGCATGTACACATGCACTGTGTACTTTTTTAAGATGAGATTTTGGGGGATAATAAACATTTAAATTTTATTTATTTTTATTTTATGTGTGTGTGTTTTGCCTGCATGTATGTAAGTGTACTACACACATGCAGTGCCCATGAAGTTCAGAAGAGGGTGAAGGATTCCCTGGAACTGGAGTTAAGGATGGGTGCTAACTGCCATGTGGGTGCTGGGAACTGAACCCAGGTCCTTTGGAAGAGCAGCCAGGGCTCTTAACTGCTGAGCCATCTCTCCAGGCTTGGATAATATGTTTTTCAGTGTTAGAATGCTTTAGTTGGAATGAGAAAAGGGCCTCTTGGTATAGCAAGATAAAGAAAAGTTAGGACTTGGTAATTTTTTAGTCAGCAGTTGCAGGAAGGGATAATAACTTTCAGAATGATTATAGCAATACGTGTTCTGTTTTCATACCATGACCTAAAAATATGGAATTACTTGGCCCCTGGCCTCTGCCATCTTTAAGGCCATGAAGACATGTCATTTTTGGGAAAAGACACTAGTAAAATGAAAGTTTGGTAATTTGCTTTAAAGACTAACTGGTCTTCTTATTGGAGCTGCTTTCCTTTTTCTCCTCCTCCCCCTCCTCCCCCTCCTCCTCCTCCTTCTCCTCTTCTTCCTCCTCTTCCTCTTCTTCCCCCTCCTCCCCCTTCTCTTCTTCCTCTTCCTCTTCCTTTCTTCATGTGAAGAGAATTACTGTGTACCAGAAGTCATGATAGTTCATCATCAAAAGGTAGTTACCTCATGGCACTGTGCTGTTATAAATCCCAGTTTACTAAAGTTCCTGTGGAAGTGTCATGTTCATATCTAATTTGACAGTGGAGTTAAAAAATTTCTTTTATTTTTATTTTTATATGTATGAGTGTTAATGCTTCTATGTATATAAGCAGTGCCTGTGGAGGCCAGAAAAGGGCGTTGGATCCTTGGAACTGGAGTTACAGACGGTTGTTAGCCACCATGTGGGTACTAGGATTTGTACCTGGGTGTTCTGCAAGAACAGCCAATGCTCTTAACCTCTGAGCAATCTCGCCAACCCAACAGTGGAGTTTTTGAAGAAGTCACTAAAGCATTGACTTGATCAAAATCTCTGTATTTTATATGAACTGAAAAGTACTACTTTTACATCCTTTTAAAAATATTTCTTTCTGAAAAACCAGGGTCATTAGGTTTCAAATGAAAATACATGAGTGAAAGAACAGAGAAGTAAAATAGTGTATCTTGGTAATTCCTTTGGAGGATCTGTTTCTTGAACTATTTAGGGGAACTTTTCAATTAAAATATATCTTATGCCTGTGTGGTAAAAATATTTTTAAGAGGTTTTTGGTTTGCATGGTCCTGCTGTAATATTTGTTTCACATTGAATTTAAAAACAGCATCTGGGGTTGGAGAAATGGTTCAGTGGTTAAGAGCACTGACTGCTCCTTCAGAGGACCCAGTTTTAATTCCCAGCACCTACATGGAGGTTAACAACTGTAACTCTAGTTCCAAGGATCCAACACCCTCTTTTGACCTACACAGGCATTGCACGACATGGGTACACTTACACCCATGTAGGCAATACACTCATACACATAAAATAAAAACAATAAATAAAAATAGCATCTGTTCACATTAGTTCAGTTCTTAAATATGTAATTTATAAGAGCAGTTCATATCTATAATATATACTTTGTTTTTTTGATCTAATAAAGTTTTTTGGGGGAGGATTCTTTTTGAGACAGGGTCTCCCTGTAGCCCCAGCTGGCCTGGAACTTGCTATGTAGACCAGGCTGGCCTCAAACTCATGGAGATATGCCTGCCTCTGCCTCCCAAGTGCTGGGATTAAAGGTGTGCACCACCACGCTGCCTGGTCTTGATCTAACAAACTTAAAATCAGGGTTAAAGTCAGCAGGGTGATAGTAAAATTGGTATTTTTTTTTAATTCCTTGTTTGAGAGATAAACTGATATGGTTTTCTTGGAAGGCAGTTTGATGTTATGAATGAATCTAAAAAGTAATTATGTGCATTGACAGTAACTCTACTTCAAGGGAGCTCTTTAAAGGAAGGAATCAGAAACTTGCACAAAGATTTATGAACCTAAAAATGTATTTTTGTAATCAGGTAATGGAAATATCTAAATGTCTTACAGAAAAACAAATTTTGATTCATATACACATTAAAGATGATTTTTCAGAAGAATCTAAAAAGCATTTGGAAAATGTTCGGGATAATATGTTAGTATTAAAAATGCTATGTTAGTTTCAATAAAATATTAGCAGATTAAATCCAGCAACATATAAAGGATTATGCACCACGACCAAGGGAGATTTATCCCAGGAATGTAGTTCAGCTGAATATCTGAAAGTCAGTCAATGAAGGACACCACGGGAAGCACATAGGACTATAACCACAAGCAGAGAAAGCACTGAACAAATTCTAGTACTCTCATCATAAAACACTTTATATTTGTAGATGACCCAGTAAAGGCCACTTATGAAAACCCAACAGCTGACATATTAAGAGCACCAGACTGAATACTTTTTCTGTAAGATCAGGAGTAAAATCAGGATATCTGCTCTCAGAACAAGATATTAACTGCACTAAAGGCTCTGCACAAGAAAGCCAGACAATACGAAAAAAAGACTAAATGATATCTGCCTTGGAAAAGAAAACTGTATTTACAAGTGACATGATATTGTATATAGAAAATCCTAAATCCACACAAAACTATTAAGGCTAATAATTTAGTGAGGAATCAGGATATATGATCAACATATAAAAATGAATTGTATTTATAGTATCAATACACACCCCTAAAATCAAATTAAGAAAGTTGCATTCTTAGTAATATCTAAAAAGAATAAAATATTTAGAAATAAATTTAAAGAAGCAGAGATTTATGTGTTAAAATCTTCAGAACACCATTGAAAGAAGTTAAAGAATATGTAAATAAATTGAAAATTTATCCTATGTTCATGGATCATATTTAATTTTAAGACTTTTGACACCACAAATTGAATATAATCGCTATCATTAAACTTAATACAGTTTTGTTTGAAAGGACAAGCTAATCCAAAAATTGATATGTAAGTGTAAAGGACCCAGAATAGCCAAAACAATTCCAGAAAACAAAGTTGCAAGACTCACATTTCCTAATTTCAAAACTTCCCCAAAGGCACAGTAATCAAGACAGTGTAATGTTGGCATAATGGTACAGATGTATAGATCAACAGGATAGGAGTGAGAGTCTAAAAATAAAGCTTCACATATATGGGCAATTAATTTATAAGATTGCCAACACCTTTCAGTGGAAATAAAAATAGTCCCTCAAAAAAGTGATACTGGGCCAGGTGTGGTAGTGCATGTCTGGATTGCCTGCCATGGGAGGCTGAGGTAGGATCACTTGAGATGACAAGTTCAAGACCAGCCTGGGAAACAGAGAGATCCTATCTGAAGGGGAAAAAGCAGAATTAACTGGATATGCACATATAAAATGAAGTAGATTTCATTGGTTAAAAATAAAAAGGTATATTGGACCTAATTAAATGAAAACTTTTTCTTCAAAGGACACCATTGACAAAGTGAAAATATAATCCAAAGAATGGGAGAAAATGCATGTAAATTGTCTCTCTAGTATGTATCTAGAATGTGCAAAAAACTCTTAATAAAAAATAGCCCAATTAAAATGGTTTGAAAGAAATTTCTCTAAAAAGATACATAAATGACCAATAAACACATGAAAAATTTCTTCATTATTTGAGAAATGCAAGTCAGAACCACAATGAGACCATTTCATATGTGCTAGAGTGGCCAATATCTAAAAGGAAAGTCTTGAATGTTGATAAATACATGGAAAAAAAACATACTATAGTTTATACAGTTTGTACATTGATGGTAGAATTGTAAAGTAGTATAGTGACTTGGGAAAAATTTGACACTTCATCAAAATGTTAAGCAGAATTATTTGACCCTACAATCCACTTATCTATAGTCTAAGAAAAATGAAAACATGCCTACACATATGTGTACAATGAATGCTCAGAGCACTAATATTCATACTAGCTAAAAAAGCAGAAACAACCTAGGTGCCTGTCAGGCGATGAATGGATAAACAAAATGTGCTTTTCCATATAGTGGAATATTATTTGACAATAAAACACTGCTGTAAAATCTCAGACATTATTTGAAATTGTTATTTTCAACATTTTCTTCCATATATATATATATATATGTATAGTTTTGTTTTGTTTTTGAGAAATGGTCTGACTATGTAGTCCAAGCTTTCCTCAAACTCACAGATCCTCCTGCCTCTGCCTCCCAAGTGCTAGGAATAAAGGCGTGTGCCACTATGCCAAGCTTTCTTTACTTTCCTTTAAAAGCAGCTTCACCTACAGCCAAGAAAAGACCACCAGACCTCCTTTTAAATTCAGTCTTGCTCTTGCCCTTGTTCTTATACTCAGTGAGTGGGCAAGGATATGACTACTAAAGAAAGAGCCCCTAAGGTACCTTTGAGGGGTAAAGGATTGCTCCATCCTTGAAACACTCTCAAGTCTACCAAACAGAATTGAGAGTTAGGAGAAACTTCAAAACATAAGAACTAAGACCATATTTTCCTTTTTATTAAAAAAAGACATGTAAGCATTGTGAGGAAGTTATCAGTGATTTACAAGTTATCTGAGAATTAGTGGCATAAAGCATTAATAAACATCTCCTACTGTTTGTGGTTAGGAATACAGAGCATCTTGGCTGAGGGTTCTGGCTCAATCTCATGAATGTCTCTCCCTAGCAGGCTTGTCTGGGTTGAGAATCTCCTACTCAGAGGCCCACTGTGGTTGATATATTAGTGCTGGTATTGTTTGGAGGTCTCAGCTCTTTGCTGTGTGGACCTTTTCCCTTATGACTACTTTAGTGTCACCTTGGGGCAGAGATCCAAGAGAGAACAAGGAAAAACTCAGTGCTGTTGGTGACTTAGGTCTTATAAATTATGTGCCATCTCTTCTGCCATATTCTGTTTATGAGACACTTGTCACTTAGTAGAGCCTATAATCAAAGAGAATTAAAATAAGTTCTACCTATTGAAGTGAGGGACTTCAAAGAGCTTGGGGACAGTTTAAAACCACCAAAGAATGAATACTTGAATTTCTAAACTGATACACATTTCAAATCAATTTTGCAGTGCTTAACTGTTCTTCAGAGACTAGACGTTTGGCTCTCCGGTGGTAATGACTTAGGTGTGTGGAGCCGAAAATTAGATCTACTATGTAAGACAAACCACCTTTCTGATACAGGTAAAAAGCAAATCAAGGTAATTGTAAGCCATGATTGATAGACTGTTAAAGGCACATTTGAATCTTCAGAGTAATTTTAATGAATATAAAGGTTCATGTAGGGATTCTTTTTTCAGTTCTGAAGATTATAGGTAGCTGTAGTTAATTAGTATTTTCACTTGACAAGTTATTTCATGATAATTTTTATTAGCATGTATTTTATTTGTACCAAATAACGGGTTTCATTATGACATTTTCATCGTATTCGCCCTCCCTTCTTGTCATCCTTTGTACTAGCCTGTCTCCACTCCAAAAGTTCTTCTGTTTTCAGACCTTAAAAAAGTGTAGATTCCACATATGAGAGAAAACATGTAGTATTTATTTCCCTGAATCTGGCTTATTTCGTTTAAGATGATGATCCCCAGTTTAATCTATTTTTCTGAAATATTATTTTGTTCTTTATAGCTAATTATATGCCACCGTGTGTGTGTGTTTGTGTATCATACTTTCTTTACCCATACATCCATTGATAAACACATAGGCTAATTCCATAGCCTCACTCCTTTGAATAGTGCCACAGTGACCGTGGGTGTATTCAGGTATCTCTACTGTATGCTAACTTTAATTCCTTTCAGTATATCCCCAAGTGTGACATAACAGGATCAAGATCATTTAATGAACTTATTTTTTAGTTTTATCTGTTTGTGTGTGTGTGTGTGTGTGTGTGTGTGTGTGTGTGTGTGTACGTGTGTGTGTATGCCATGATATATACATGGAGGTCAGAGGACAACTTGCAGGAGTCTGTTCTCTTCTTCTACTATGTGAATCTCAGGGATCAAACTCAGGTCCTCGGGCTTGGCAGCAGGTGTCTTAACCCACTGAACTATCTCACTGGTCTCTTAATGAACATTTTAAAATAATATGTTTTCTGTATTTAAGACTCTTCTTGAAGCAGGAAGATTTCCACAAGGCCAGCCTGGGCTACATAGTGAGACCTCATTTCAAAAGCCAGACAAACAAAAATTCTGCCTCGTCCACTTCTTCTTTTCTACCTTTATACACTTTTCCTCCATCTTCTCCATGGAAAGATAGAGCATATACTTGTAAAGTAAGCCCCTATGGATAAGAAATTAGGGCAGACATGCTCTTGAAACAGCAGTGGGGTTGCAAGTCTTTGACAAGTGGGAAGGATAAACATGAGTGGGACTTCCCCTAATTTGTGCATATATTATAAGTTACATTTATAACATATATCAAAGTGGAACATTTAATTTCTTGCTAACATATTCTATTTCAGCTCTTTTTAAAAAAACTTTTAAAAAATTATTTTTATTTTATGTGTATGCATGTATTGCCTGCATGTAGGTAAGTGCACGCATGTCGTGCAGTACCCGTGGAGGTCAGAAGAGGCTGTTGGATCCCCTGGGACTGGAGTTATGGACAGTTGTTAGCTGCCATGTGGGTGCTGGGATTCGAACCTGGGTCTTCTGCAAGAACAACCAGTGTTCTTAACCACTGAGCCATCTCTCCAGCCCTGTATTTCAGCTCTTTTAATACTTGAAGTTATGGTTAGTCTAAAAACATTTTATGATTGAGTTATGAAAAAGTGTTTAGCACTGAGTGCTTAAGGCTGAGTGCAGTGATAGGTGCAGTAATCCCAGCTGCTCAGAAGGCTAACACAGGATGAGCACTTGTGTCCAGGAGTTCTGTAGGCCAGCCTGGATAGACTTGTCTTTTTTTTTTTTTTTTTTGGTCTTTTTTGAGACAGGATCACCGTGTAGCCCCAGCTGACCTAGAACTCGCTATGTAGACCAGGCTGGCCTCAAATTCACAGAGATCCGCCTGCCTCTGCCTCCTGAGTGCTGGGATTAAAGACATGTACCACCACGCCCGGCCAAGACTTGTCTTTTTTTAAAAAACAAGAATAACCACAGAACTCCAAACACTAAAAGTCTGTACTTAAGTAAATGAAACATGGTGGAATGTAAAGTCTAATCATTGCAGTAACATAACTAATTCTATAGATGTGCTAATTGACCATGAACATGCTATTTAAAAGCCACTTTCCTAGCTGGAAACACTATTGATATTGATAGGGAAACACAGACTCACTTTTCTCCTAGCACAAACCCACTTCTTCCTAGCCTCTTTCTCAACACACTTGAGTAAGTGTGTTGCATAAGTATACAGTTGCATAAGTATACAGATATACAGTGTTGCAGTAGCAGATAACTGGGGGTCATCATCTTAAATGAAGTGTTGATATACAGTGTTGCAGTAGCAGATAAGCAACAGGGTGTTCTCCAATCCTATTCAGTTCTTACACTGTCGACCTGGATATAGTATCAGATTTCACAATCTCAGAGCTCAGTTCCCAAGGTAGCCCCTACCACATTCATGCTGTTTATGGGCCTATTTGTTTTAATTGAGATTTTGACCCCTGTCTATAAATCAGGGTTCAATTAATTTATTAATTTGCAAGAGTGGCTCATAGAACTAAGGGAAACATTTAAGCTTACTATAAGTTATACTACATGATACAGGAGAAGAGCTACATAGAGCAAGGTAGGCAGAAGGGTCACAGAGCCTCCATACCTTCCCTAAGTGCCACCCTCCAGGAACCTTCCTGTGTTCAGCCTTATGGAATCTGCCTTAACCTTGTCTCAGTTTTTTTGGGAGGCTTCATTACATAGGTATGGTTAATTAAACCATTTGTCACTAGTGACTAGCTTCACTATCAGCCCCTCTATTCTTGGAGGTTGAGGGGTGAGGCTGAAAGTCCCAGTTCTTTAATACTGCCTTGGTCTTTCTGATGACCAGCCTCCATCTAGAAACTACCACGGGCTGGCCAGACATTGGCCATCTCATTAGCATGGAGAAAGATATTCCATCTTTGGAGATTCAGAGGATTTTAAGAGTTGTATGTCAGGAAACAAGGTGAAGGCCAAGTAAGTATTTTACAGTATTACATTAGCTCATTTAGTGCCAGTGAGCATGCTTAGTCTTCTTAAGTTTACATTGAAAACTCCCATTTTACATCTCATTTGAATTAGTGATCTTATGACAGCTGGCGGTGATTATCATAAGGTTCCTTGGTAAATATGTGGGCATGACTGAATATTCCATGAGACCAAGAGAGGGAAAATGTTCAGAGAGCCAATTTGTATATTAAAATGTCTTCCAGAGGTATCAGAAACTTACTTAGAATTCATTTTCACATGTAAACAAGAAAGGAAATGTGTATGTAGCAGGTTTCACATGTGTTATGGGAAATGACTGTCATAAAATTGAGAACATTTTTGTTTTTGATGTAACCCAAAAGAAAGTGTGAGAAAAAAATGAATTGCCTTGTTTTATATTTTTCTGAAGGAATCAGTGCTTTGGCTGAAATCCCTAGGAACTGTATTGCAGCAGCAGTTGGCAGAGAACTGAGTGAGTATATATTTTTCTTTATGTGTGTATGTATAGATACATATACCTGTCTACATAGATACATGAGTAGACATATACTACTGTGTATGTGCTAGAAAAACAAAAGTAGTTTTATTTCAGGAATGACAGCCCTTGCCCCAACTTGGCCTCTTGGGGTCATTGAAAATGATAGAGGGAAGTATTTTGAAGATGCTAGGTCAGATTTATTTTTTCTATCAATATATCACACTATTGTCTCATTAATTTGAGTAAACAATGTAGTTCTTATTATAAAAACTCAAACTCTATAGCTTGTTTGACAGTATTCCACATAAAGAAGTATTTTCACTAATGTTGATAGATGTCAGGAGTTCTCCTTGGTATTGAGAGCCTTGATAACCCCAGTTTGAATGTGAATGGCCATCAGAATTGAATAACCTTGCTAGTGATTTGATAGTCGGCAAAATATTGTCAGAGATACAGAAAGAAATGTGTCATGACCTGTTTTCCAGAGGGGAATTTGAGGAAAAGAGAGATTTGGGTAATTACCACTCCTTAAAAAGGATAGGAGGCCTTTCCACTTCTTGCATAGTAGGCATGCTTATTTGGAGTATCCACAGCACTTGCTTCATCGCTTATGATGGCGCTTCGCTATGAAAAAGAGAGATTTGGGTAATTACCACTCCTTAAAAAGGATATGAGGCCTTTCCACTTCTTGCATAGTAGGCATGCTTATTTTGGAGTATCCACAGCACTTGCTTCATCGCTTATGATGGCGCTTCGCTATGGTAAGTCTGTGGATGAGTCTCATGTGCACTGTGGGCTGTGAGCATTTGGGCACAGTCACTGGGCCTTACTCATGTCTGATAACTATAGCTCCTAGAACATAGCAGGTGTTTAGTAAATGTTGGTTGATAGAACCACTTCAGTTGATTTGATTTTAGGTTTTATGTGTTGATTAACGTTAGGATTTATATAGCTTAAATAAAGCTGTATTTGTTGAAGTCAGATAATAAGTCATGCAACACATTCGACATCTATAGTAAAAACAAACCTATATGGCATACAAAAATTAAAAGCTACATTCTTAGAGAATTTGTAATTTGATGGTATATGCTTAAATATCGAAAACAGTTGTTTTTGCTTGTTTGGCTGATCATTTTTAGCAGCTCCTGCAGTCTTCACTTGATTGAAAGCTAAACCTGAATTTAGAGCTTGTTTTGTAGCAGTGCTTACTGGCCTGGAAGCCTGAGTAGAGAAAGCTGATGGTGGAAATGAGCCAGGGCTGTGGGCCAGGCACTGGATAAGGCAGGAAATGGGGTGGTATACCTGGCGTTGATTGAAGCGCAGGAGAAAGTGGGGACTTCAATGTCTGGTAGTGGGTTTTGGAAGTCGATAAAGGAAGAAAGATGAAGGAAGCCCTGACTTAGGATTTGAGAATATGATTTTAAACATCTCAAGCATTTGAGAGAAATGGTTTAAGTTAGTATGAATAAGGCTCTTTGGAAACGGGTTTTCCAATGTTTTTCACTTTATGAAATGCTTTTTGAGTAGAAAAGTATTTTATTTTCTTTGAACATTTAATAAAATAACTTTTTTTTTCCTTTAGTAATTTTCAGGTTAGTCACACCCACAGAAGGATTGTTGGACTGGGATATCAATGAAGTTAAACGCCTTCTGGATCATCAGGATAATATTCTGTCATTGGTCAATGTCAATGGTAAGTGCATTGTGTACAATTATGCTATGTATAGTTTTATACTAGTTAGCACAACCTATTCTGAATTTCTGTTTTGTTTTCTTCCAGGATTCTAGAATTACTGTCATTGAAATAATAGTTGAGATTAGTAGAGATTGTCATTATCCTTTACTCCATGCTTTGAGTCAGTAGAGCTGAGCAAGACTCAAGAGTTTGGCAGATCTAAGACTTAGGCATGGGTGATAGAGGAGAACGTGACTCTCCGAGGCACTTTGGTAGCTCTGGAATGGTCATCACAAGTAACGAATTCTGATGCTATAGCACTCCACCATTCTAGGCAAACAGTTCTGGCCAGATCCTCTTTTGTAAAGAATATTGAAAGTAGTTACACCCTTTTGTCTTGCTGACCATATAGTACAATATCACATAGCAAGCTACACATTTAAAGCAGAATGATTTAACATTTAAATCTATTATAATTATGCTTGAAAACTCCTAGAGAAAAGCAAAGGTCTGAAGAAAATGGGTCCTCTGACCTTCTTCATGATTATGGGTATTGACTTCCTTGATGGCCTATTTGGCTCCATCCATGATTTTGGTGAGTACCAATGTGCCGAGTCTGACATCAGACAGTAGGATAGGATCATAGACTAGATCTTGGCATTTAGCTGGTTCATTTGCAAATAAGTGACAGCTTCCATCACCAGAGCTCTACTGGGTGATCTATGTGAGTCGGGTGAATAGTTCTGGTAGAGATTGTAAGCAGTCCTATAAGACTGCTTTCAGCATGATGCAATAAAGGACTGGACAGTACCCTGGACACCTGAGCCTGGGCTGGATCTTTTGAGAAATATTTTGTACAAACATGAGACAAGGGGGAAAGTGGATACAGAGAGCACCAAGTGTGGACTTGCTTTGCATCTTTGTCTGCCATTTGGTCCCATTTTCAGATGTATCAGTGGGAACATCCCTCACAGCTTCAGAATTCCCCCTTCAATAGCCACCATCTTTTAACAATTGCGTGTCTCACCAAAGGTCAGATTGTCTGTGCTGGTAGAAGTAGCAGTGGTTGGGGGTACCACTTTCTCTCTAGAGGTTCTTTTTCTCTATCCATGAATGGTAGCTCAAAAAGCAGGTTCGTATACGGGAGACCCTTTGAGCCTCCTTGGTAACCCTGAACCATGAGCACAGGTTTCTGGAGCTGCTAAGAAAAGCATGACAGTTCTCTAGCCCATTAAGCTGGCCATGTCTACTTGGATGTCTTGTCTTAGTAGTGAAGACGAGGAACAACATAGATCCTTATATGAAGATGACAGATTATTCCTGAGTTAGCCTTAACTTCATGGTCCATCTTTTGCTGTGCGGTACATAGTTTTCTTACAGCTTTGTAATTTTTATTTTATTTTTTGATGGGCTTTGAATCCAGCACATTCTAGGCAGGTGTGTACCACTGAGCTGTACCTGCCTCCATACATGCAATTAAAAAAAAGTGCATTTTGGAACAGGTGGCACGTATACCCCAGTGGCAGACACTTGGGGCACTGGGGTCTGGCAACAGGTGCAACCAGGAGGTGGTTGTGATCACTCCACCATGCCATGCTTTGGTACACCTCCCTTGCCAGGCACTGGACCTGTGAATGGCCACTGCACTATGCACCCATGGTTGCTGGCCATCATCATCATCTAGGTGAAAAGCTGGGTCCAGGCAAGAAAGGACTTACCAAATAAGAAAGAAAATTGCTGAAGAGCCAAGATGGCAATGGTGGTGGTTGCTCTCAGCAAAACATGACTCTGGGTAAGATGTCTCATCACTGGCCCTGGTCGGAAAAGAAGATGTAAAGGCTGTAGTTACCAAAAAAAGCCAACCAGAATCTTGAAGATGAAAAACAGCAACAATAAAACATATGATCCATCTGTCTCCTTGAGCAAAAGCCAAAGGTGGTTTTCTCCAGTGTCACTGTCCCTCAAAGGAGAAGTTCAAGCCAGCATATAACTGTTGCCTTTGTCTGCTACACAGAAGCCAAAACACTGTTTTAAACACAAGTATAATCATGTGGACAGAACAATAGAGACAGGAAAATAATAAGAATCAGCATAATTGAAATAGTGATCCCTCCTGTGAGCCTGTAATTGTGTTCCTCTTCCATGAACCTGAAGCTGGGGTCCCTTCCTGTGAACCTGGAGCTGTGTTCCTGTCCTGTAAACCTGGAACTATGGTTGTCTCTCATGAGCCTGGAGCTGTGGTTCCCTCTCATCAGCCTGCAATTCTGGTTGTCTCCCGTGAACCTGGAGCTACATTCCCTTCTTGTGAGCTAGAGCTGTGCCTGTCTCCCATGAACTAGAGCTGTAATTCTCACTGTGAGCCTGGGACTATTATTGCCAACTCTAAACCTATAGAGATGTGATCCCATTCTGTGAACCTGTACCTGAGGACCCCTGCAGGAACCTGAAGGCGCAGGGGAGTGTGTGGGGGGGTGCTTCTATGAGCTGGAACTGCAGTTTCCTACTATGAATCTGGAGCTATGGTCCCTTCCTGTGAGCTAGAGCTGTGGTCCCCTCCTGTGAACCCAGAGCTATGGTATCCTCCTGTGAGCTGCAGGTGTGGTCCCCTTCTGTAAGCTGGAGCTGCTGTCTAGTCCCATGAACCAGAGATTTGGTCCCCTCCTGTGAGCTGGAGCTGAGGTATGTTCCCCCACACCCCCCTGGAACCTGGAGCTGTGATTCCCTCTTGTGACCTGGAGCTGTAAGTCCCTTCCCATGAGCCAGAGATTTGGTCCCCTCCTGTGAGCTGGAGCTGAGATCCCTCTCCCCTGAACCTGGAGCTGTAGCTCCCTCCAGTGAACCTGGAGTTGTGGTCCCCTCCTGTGAATTGGATCTGTGATCCCCTCCCATTAGCTGGAGTTGTGGTTCCCTCCTTTAAGCTGGAGCTGTGGTCCCCTCAAGTTAACCTGGAGCTATGGCCCCCTCTTGTGAGCTGGAACTGTTATCCCCTCACATGAGCCTGAAGCTTTGGGTCCCTACCGTGTGCCATGGTTCCACATTCCTTTGGCTGTAGGTGGTGGAGCAGAGTAGAGCATGGAGGACTTCCTGATTGTTGGGCAGCAGTTTCAGTCTTCTCTGACTACATTCCCGCACAGCCCCATCCCCTGAGGTTCCAGGTTGTACATGGCAGAGGCTTTGCCTCTTATGCTGGGGACAGGGGAGGCCTGTGCTATTTGCAGATTCTGGTTTGGGAGGACCAATTCTTTGGAAAGGGCCTCCTACCTCCTCTGAGGCCCAGCTGTGGTCCTCACTCCACACATGGTCCTGCATATCCAGGCCTTGATGTTGGATCTCTCCCATTACCAGGCACCAAAAGGTTTACCATTATTTTTTACTACTTTTTTTTTATAGTCCCAATATACCTTCACCTATCCCCTAATTGAACTTCTAGAGATAAAAATCACAGTCTGGGAAGTTTAAAAAAAAAAAAGTACTGTAATAACTAAACTAATTATAATTAGTTATTTGTTATAACTAAGATAAATATAATTCTCAAACTAAAAATATATACTTATATCTTGGAATATAAGTTCAAAATTCTTTGTCTACTATAATTTTTGAATATTGTTTACTGACAAAACTGTTCTGTGAGGCTTCAATAATAATGTGAAATTTGTCATTGTTCTTATAATGTGAATTTGCCATTCATTCCCTTTCCAGACTCTCAACCTATCCAAAGTCTTTCAGTATACTCAAAGAAACCAATGCTAATAAAATATTTTTTAAAAACTAGTGCATTTTGTTGAGGTGGCCCTAGTGAATTGTTGGACTTCTCAAAATAGGCTTACTATATATCAGATTTGCTCAAGAGATTTGAATGCCCAGGCAAGTTTGCCAATATACATAAATTCACTTTCCTAATCTCTTCTGGCAAAAATCTCCATGTACTTTTTTATTTGTTGCTGTTCTTGCTTTGTGCTGGCAGCATAGTGTTGGTGCCTGTGAGCTATGGGCAGACAAATGCCAGGCAAGATTTTCCTTAGTGGCTTACAGGAAGAAAATACATCTACCTGTAGTACATCATTGATGTTGTTTGGTGTCAAACATTTTGAATGACCTGTTTAGGAACGTACATAATTTACACAGTGATAACTAATGCATTGACTCAGGTAAATGCCGGTATTGTTTTTTAATCATTGTTTTTTTAAAAAATTTTTAATAACTACATGGTTAGAAGAAGCATTTCACTGCAGCTTTAACATATTCAGTAACACACTCCAGAGCAAGAGTTCATCTCTTTCACAGTGGGTGCAAGTTTCTAGGTTCACAGTTGAATTAATACAGCCATATATTATTGAACTCAGTATAAGCCCTGTAAGACATAAAATTGGATGAATTTGTTTTTATTAAAAAGATCCAAGAAATCATTGATACTGTATATTTATACAGAAGAGCCCTGGAGGATTAAATCCTAGAAGCAGCTATGTGATCTCAAAAGTTTAACCCTGTTGACTGCAGACCAGAGTTGGAGTCAAGAGGAATATTTTTACTCCAGAACCTCTCCTAGTCTTTTGTAGTTTGAGTGAAATTAAGAAGAGGAGTAATGGAAAAATTGGTATTGCTGAAGTAGCTAAAACTTTCACAATATTAAAACTAGAAAGTTGTTTTTCTCCTGAGATCAGAAGTGAACTTCTTCACACAACAAATTCTGTTATGCCAGTAAGCTATGAAATGTAGCCATTAATAAGCTTTGAGACCAAGACAAATAATGTTTATATTTAGGATTGCTGGTGATTTTATTTCTAAGAGATTGCTCATCTGGTTATTAGAGATTTCTGTCCTGCTGGTTTATGACAAATGGGATAATTAGATCATAATGATGCATTGTTTATTCCTAAATCGCAAGTCACTATGGGTTTAATACTGTTAATGTAGAATAATACTAGGACTCAGAATAATACCAGAGCTTCAAAGATAACATTGACATTTAGCTAGCTAGAATAGCTAGACATTTATTATTGAATTTGTTTTCTATAATCATCCTCATTTAATGCATGAGGCATCTAGGACAGAGAAAGGTTAAATGATTTGCTTGAGACTACCTGGCTAATAACAGTTAGAGCCAAACTTATAACTTGAGTTTCTGTGTCCAATGCATTGTTCTGTTCTGATTTAGCCTAAATATGTAAGAGTAAAAATAAATTACATTCTAAAGATTTTAAAGATAATTTTTAATATAGAAGTTGCACATTTTCTATTAAATTTAAAATGTATGAATTGTCTGGGTCCTTAATTTAATTTTATTTAACGATATTAAAAACAGCATACGTGTTTACACGGCCATTCTAAGAAATAGGACAGTAATGAGAAACATTTTAAAAAGAATTAAAATTGTCCCATCTTTTAGTACTAAATGCTATTGCACATCTTTCTGTATATTTTTCAGAGCATAGGATGTATATTTGTATGTGTGTATACGTGGTCTACAGTTTTGTAAGAGTATGTATGAAAATATTTCCATATCAATATAAATATACTTTTGCAACTTAATTTTCAGTAACTATTATTTCTTTTTACCAATGTCTTATATCCTTATTCAGTCCCCAGTTAGATATTTAGATTTTTTTCAATTTTTTTTTGAGACGGGGTCCCCCTGTAGCCCCAGCTGGCCTGGAGGTCACTAATATAGACCAGGCTGGCCTCACTCTCACAGAGATCTTCCTGCCTCTGCCTCCCGAGTGCTGGGATGAAAGGTGGCCACCACCACACCCTGCTCAAAATTTTAAGATTACGTTTGCAGCCTTACATCTGTTACACATTTCTCTAAGAATAAATTTCTTGAAGTAGAATTGGTGGGTCAGATGTTTACTTTCTTGTGGTTTGATCCATATTACTAAATTAATCTATGAAAGAATTGTGCCAAGTTGTGCCAAAATATACTATGACGTTAGCAGTATGTAAACACACCAATTCCCACATGCTCATTTGCTGTGCTTTTTTTAATTGGGTATTTTCCAGTTTTATAACAGGAGCTTTACAAATTTAAATCATAATCTATAAATTTCCCAAGTTGTAAATCAAAAGATACATTATTTTAGATTTCTTTGATTGTTAACATACTTCAAAATCTTTTCACATATTTTCTGCCCATATAATTAACTAATATGTGAGTTGCAAATTTTCCCGTTTTTTGTCACTTATGTGTATCTTCTTTCTTTCTTTCTTTATTTTTTGCTGAGCAGGTATTTCCGTGGATCTCCTCCCCTAACCTGCTTCTTTTAGAGCCCTTTATCACTCTGTATTCATAAAATTATTTATGTTTATTTCCTTCAATTCTTTAAGTACCTAGTATTTCAGTCTGCTTGGCAGTTATTTTAGCATATCATCTAAGGTAAGGGTCTTTTATTTTTATTCCCTATAAGACTTAACCAGGCATCATAGATGAGACTTTTTTTACTGACACAAAATATAATGTTTATACTACAGTAGGTAAACGAGCCTGCTTCTGTCTTCCTGCTGGCATATTAGTCTTTCTTTTTGGCTTGTCTAGTTACGATTAGAAAGCCCATCTGTTTTCACATTTGTCCCAGAGAAGATGATCAGTAACAAGGTGTTTGTGAATTTCTCCTAGATGGGAGTTTTGTCACGGGCTCCCATGTTGGAGAGCTGATCATCTGGGATGCCCTAGGCTGGACCATGCAGGCCTATGAGCGCAGCTTCTGGAACCCGTCTCCACAGCTGGACACTCAGCAAGAAATAAAACTCTGTCAAAAACAAAGCAACATTTCTATTAATCATTTCACATGTGATGAAGAGGTAAAAAATCAAAATTAGGTATTTTAAAATAAAACCAATATCTAATTTTTAAAATTTAATCTCATGTTAGACATGAAAAGCTATGGTTCTGGGGCTGCTGAGATGGTCCAGTGGGTAGAGGTGCCTGCTGCCAAGTCTCATGGCCTTCGGCCTCAGGACCCATATGATGGAAGGAAATCTCCCAAGTTTTTCCTCTGACTTCCACATGTGTGCTGTGGCATGTGCATGTGTACACATGCACACACATTAAAATGCAATAAAAAGATAAAATTCCTTGTATTTTCAAGCATTAAAATGGTCTGGTATTTTATAAAGAGCATATATCTTACATTCAAAAAGCACTTTAATCTTTGTTCCTAATCTGCAGGTAAGGAAATGATTTAGAAGAGAAAGAATGTAGACACCTTATTGAAAATTTGGGTTGGATTAAGTAAACCCATGGGATTTGAGGTTGATACTTCATTTGTTCTAAGAACTTCTGTGAGGCAGACTCCTTTAGAAGATTCTGATGTATTTCCTAGAGAGGTAAAAATAAAAATTTGGGGAACATTCCTTTTTTCTGTTGCTGGCATCCTGGTAGGATAATTTGATGAGCGTAGCCGCTGTCCAGCCTTAACCGTGGCACTGGTGCTTTTGAAGCTGGAAAAGATCAGTACTGACATTATACTGAATCTTGGCTCTGACCTGAAACAAAACAAAAAGACAAAAACAAAAACTTGTCTCTTTTAGACTCAGTGGCTCAGAAAATGTGTTTAAGGGGAGTTATTTTTCTAAATGTCACCCCAAAAAAAGAGTTGATGGCCTTTAAGGACAGGGGTGGAAGAAACCGTCACTTTGTGCTTTCTGTCCTACTTGTGTCTTCATACCACTCATTTTTGTGCCATGTGTGTGTGTGTGTGTGTGTGTGTGTGTGTGTGTGTGTATTCTCTGCATGCTTGTATGGTGTGTGCTGCAGTGCACATATGCATTTGAATGTGGAGGCCAGAAGCCAACGAGTGTCTTCCTTGATTGCTCTCCATCTTACTTATTTTAACCTTTTAAAAATCTTTTAAAACTTACTTGTCTGTGTGTATATGAGTGCAGGTGTATGTATGTGCCACAGCATTTGTAGGAAGTTAGAAGACAACTTTCAGGAGTCACTTCTCATGTTTCAGGATCAAACAGGTTCAGCCCTTTTACCTGCTGAGCCATCTCTCCAGCCCTTCTTTCTTTCTAAGGCAGGATCTCTCACTGACCTGGAGCTCATTGATTTTGCTGGGTTGGCCCTCTGTAACTCCCAGAGTTACAGATGCACACCACTCTGCCTGGCTTTTACATGGGTGCTCAGGATCTGAACTTGGGTCCTCTTGCTTGCCAGCAAGCACTGTACTAACTAGGCCACCTCCCCAAGCCCCTTTTGTACTACTCTTTAAAAATAAAAAATATGACAAGTTGAATTTTAAAATTTTATATATATTCAAAGGTTTTTGTTGTTGTTGTTTTCCAACTTTATTTTGAAAAAAATGGAGTGATACGGTCTCAGAAGAAACTAGATGTCTTAGAGTCTAGTTATACAATATTTATTGAAAATTTTTACCTTTTCTTTTATAAAAATTAGTAGTTAGAATTTTTTTCATTTTGTTTTTGATTTGTTAGTGTTAAATTTTTTTATTGATCCTAATTAATTGCTGTGACTGCCTGGTAAAGCATTACTCAGTTTTCCCTAATGTTCTTTTTTTTTTTTTCTGGGGATTCTTTCCATCTGTAGGTTTTTATCTCCCATTAATCATCAATGATGGATGACTGATAGTGTGTCTCCACTGAGTAAATGCTGCCACCAAAGCTAAGAGTTCTCCAGTTGGAGAATTTTCTTCATGACTTTGGGTAAATCATTTACACTGTATGGACTTCCCTGCCTTCTACAATGAGTTTCTGGAGTGTTTTATCGAGTGCCATTCATGGAGCTCTGGATTTTAGCACTTGGGCCAGCTGTTCTTTAGTACATGTCACACTGGTTCTCCATCTGCTTTAACAAGTGCAGAGTACCAGTCCTGAGAGTCAAGGTGATGCTTGATCATTCGACTTTTCAACTCTGGTAGGCTGGGAGTATGCTATGGCTCAGCTAGTGTAGGTCTGATTGGGTCTATAGTCTCTAAGAAAGGTTGGATGGCCTGTGTCTGTTTGAAGATGAGGAAGCAATCTATAGGGATTTATTTAAAGATCTGTCCCTGTAGGTACTCACTCGGTAAGACAAACTGAAGACAAGTTTAATGCTATCTGAAGCTGACTGTCTTAAAAATAATATCAGCAGCTAGATGGTGTGGTCTGAGGAAAGAGCATAGGAAGGGGCTGAAGGACTGTGACCTTGATTCTTATATGACTCCATGTCTGATTCCTGTGTGACTTTAATCCTCAAAAAATGTATTCATTTCTCTCTCTCTCTCTCTCTCTCTCTCTCTCTCTCTCTCGGCATGGCACACTGTGTAGAGATCAGAGGACAACTTGCAGGAGTTGGTTCTCTCCACTATGTGAGTCCTTGGGATGGAATTCAAGTTGTCAGACTTGGTGGCAGTTACCTTTACCTACTGAACCATCTCGCCAGCCCTTTAGCTCTTAAATTTTGACCTGCTCATCTGGAAAGTGACAATAATGCTTTTTTCTGTTTTAACAAGATACCATAAAATTGAGTTGATGTGAACATTAGCAAAAAAGTTTTGAAAAGATTAAAGTTGTTTTAGTAAAAAGGTATTCCTAATACTACATATGGAAAACTGTTATTGTGAATTCTTCAGATGACTTATGATAGTACCTCTATATCATATGCTTTTTTATGTCTATACAGGCCTCTTGGTTGCTTAAGATGTGGAGTATAAATAATTTTGCCAACATTTTCAGGCAAAGAAGCTGAGTAATTTTTCCAAGGATACAGTGTTCTGTGGAAACCCAGGCTACACTGCAGCAGCTTCTGCAGTGTGGGCCAGGTTACCAGCCATAGCTCCTTCCTGGAGCTGTCTTACTTCAGCGAGGAAGAAAGCAATGCTAAGATCTATAATGTGTAGAGCCGTCTCTGTATTTGTACTTCTGTCCTACTTTCTGAATGTTCTAAGCTTTCCTTGGTGCTTTGACATTTTTGGACTTCAGAGGGCAGTACAGTAATTTTGACTGAAGGCTGGAAATAGAGAAGTTAATGACTTTCTGATGTCACACAAACTCTATTATACCAGTTAGTAAATACTAGCTTTATGCCAATTTCTGAACTTTCCTCCCAGAATATATTTGCTGCGGTTGGAAGGGGGTTATATGTGTATAACCTTCAAATGAAGCGTGTGATTGCCTGCCAGAAAACAGCACATGATTCCAATGTCCTGCACATTGCCAAACTTCCAAACAGGTACATGTTCCCATCTCTTCTGCAATAGATGAAAGTCACGCTTCCTAGGACCACAAGTGTAATTTCTGCAGTGGTTAAATTACCTGGCTTTGTGGTGACTTGACCTTGGTATTCTTTTGGAAATAGAGAATGCCCTCTGTTCTGTCTCTTGTGAAAACATTTACAAGAGCAAGATTAAATGAATTAAAATGAATCTTACTGTAGAAGAGATCATTTAAAATTGTTATTTAATCATGTAAAAGACTTAGAGCTCTTACAATGTAATATATATACATATATTTTTTTTTCTTTTTTTTTTTTGAGACAGGGTCTCATTAGCCTCCTGGCCTGGACACCGCTATGTAGTAAATGGCATGTAGCACTGCACCTGGCTTATATTTTCTTTAAACTCATCTTTTGTGGTGTTCTGTTTATGGCTAAAATCATGCAGTAGGCCACCTTCTTGTCTAAGGCTGCCCTAGTTTGCTTTTCATTGCTGTGATTAACACCATGACCAAAAACAACTTGAGGAGGAAAGGGTTTATTTCACTGTACAACTCCTGATCACAGTCCATCATTCAGAGAAGCCAGGCAGGAGCCTAGAGGCAGAAGCTGAAGTAGAGACCACAGAAGAAAGCTGCTTACTGGCTTGCTCAGCTACCTTCCTCATAAAGCCTAGGCCTACCTATATTGGGATGGCACCACCACAGTGGCCTGGGCCCTCCAACATCAACTAGCAGTTAAGAAAATGCTTTATAGACACAGGCCTGCCTGCTCTGGGCTCTTCTTCAGTTGTGGTTCTCTATACCCAGGTGACTCTAGTTTGTATCAAGTTTACAAAAACTAACCAGCACAAAGGTTACTAAAATGAGAATAGATTTGGTTGCTGCAATTCTAGGGATGAAATGGGGAGTAGCATGTTCTATGCCTGATATATTCTGGATGAGAAGCACCTGAAAAGAGATGTAAAAGAGGAGGGAAGGGGCTGCTTAGGACGTTCTGAAGATGTAGTTCATACTGTTTTCTGAATGATCTTAAAAATGGAGATGATAAATTTATGGCATTTGAGTCAGTGTCACATAATGTAATGTGTACCTTTGCTGGAGAGTGCTTTCAGTTTGCATTGCAAAGCCATGTTAAATTGTGACAGCTCTTGCCGAGAATGAATGCAGTTAAGGGCTCCAGTGAGTTCTTCCTGCAGAGTTAGCATTTGGCCTCCCAGGCGCTCTATCTTTGCCTATCTAACTTTCTGTTCTGACAGGCAGTTAATCTCATGCTCAGAAGATGGCAGTGTACGCATTTGGGAGTTACGGGAAAAGCAGCAGCTTGTGGCAGAACCTGTGCCGACAGGTGTGTGTTGCCCTGCGTGTAGTGTTGTCTCCCCCTCCCCCTCCCCTCCTCCTTCTCTCTCCTCTCCTTTCCTTTCTCCTCATGACAGGCAAAAGAAAGGTAAGTGTGGGAAGCCACAGAGATCAGGGATCGTGTGCTCCAGACAGGCATTAGATGTTTATAGGAAGCTTATGATAATTAGAATTTAGGAGTCACATTAATTTTGCCCCAGCATAGAACTGTCTCTTCATTGCAATTGAATTCAACTGGGAATTTATTATTTTGAGAGAAAACTATGATTTTCAAGTAATCTGAATGACCTGTTGGCCTAGTAATACAAAATTTGTGCCATCTAGTGTCAAACTAAAATATTCTTTACCCTTCAAGCATTATTGTTAGTACTGCATGAAATTTATGGAGAAAATCATTTTCTTGGTTATGCCATAATCTCATGAGCTCTTTTAGGTGTTTGGTTTGAAAAACAACTTTGGATATTTGAGTGAATTAGTTACTAATTTTTGATAAGTCAAATACTGGTACCTCTAAATTCTAGTTTCTTTTTTTTTCACCTTACTTGAGTATTGTCTTACACACACACACACACACACACACACACACACACACACACACATGATTTTCTTGTATGTTTTGTTAATAGGTCTGAACTGCTCCCTTTTTGATAATTACATACCACCTTTAATGCCTTTACTTCTGTTAACTAACAGTGTCTGTCTCTTTCCTTGCCACAAGTGGGTGACTGGGGGCAATAAAAGAAACAAGGCACAAACCAAGTTCATTGAGAAATAAATAGAAAACAATATCTTTAAAAGATCCCAGCTAGTGTCTGCTACCATCTGCTTAGTCCCTGACAAACAGTAGTATGAAACATCTTTGTATTCAAAATTCCCTTTTTTCTGGTCTCTTACTGCTATTGTATTGTAAGAAAAGAACGTAGTAGTTTTTGAAATGGCTGATGCAATTGTCTTTTTCTAGGATTTTTTAATATGTGGGGATTTGGAAGAGTGAACAAACAAGCCAGTCAACCTGTGAAAAAGCAGCAAGAAAATGCGACTTCATGTTCTCTGGAGCTCATTGGAGATTTGATCGGACACTCATCCTCTGTGGAGGTACTGCATTTGTAGGCCTGTAATGTCCAGGCACTTCCTGCTTCTCCGGCATGGTGCTTTTTGAATTTAGTTGGTCTCAAAAAGACCAGTATTTTGTCAGCTTAGGTTTTTACTGGATATGAACACAGAATGAGATAGGAGATAGTATGGGCAGTTAGGATCTTCCTTCACAGAAACAGGATTTGAGGAAGTAAGCAATGTATTGGTTTAAGAATGGGCTTACCTTGTATATGGAGGTAGCTGATAATAGGGCAGTGTTAGTTATTTTGAATATGTATGTATAACATAACAGTAGAGCGATCATGGAGTATTGTGGTTATATGTGTAGAACAAAAGCCTTGGCAAAATCTAATTCATCCCAGGGACTATTACCAAATTCAGGAACAGAGTACTATTTTCATATGCCTTTGATGAGTAAGTTATTTTATAAAATCTTGTTACCTAAATCACTATATATGAAATATATATGCATATATGAAGTTTATTTCAAAATTATAGGCTACCTTAGCATTTAACTTGTGGAAGTCCAAATACACTAATATTTATAAGCACTGTTGCCTGTAATGAAGGGAAAAGATCCATGGAGGTAAAGAGCTGATTGAAACTGGTAACAGTGTAGTGCTAGCAGTGAAAGATGGATCCTAAGTAAGGATTTCTTGAATTGTTCTTCCCTGGCCCATAGCCAAGGAAGAACACTAGTCATTGAATGTTTCCTGGACTTTAGGAATATATACTAAATCCTAGAGTTTTTGAGCAGATACAAAATGCAATCCTTGCCTTCATGGATCTTATATTTTAGTAGAGAAGAAGTAAGCAGACCTAATAAACTCTTAATCAAGGCTGCTTATGATTGACCCAGATGAGTAGCAGTTTGGGAGTTAGAAGAGACATTTCTTTCTGTATCCTGTAAATGTCTGTAGAGAGATGGGATCTGAGATGAGCTCTGGAGGTGCAGCCAGTCACCATACTCCCTCTTGTTTGATACCATGTCTTACTCTTCTTTGCTTTCTTCTAACAAGTAACTCAGAGCTTTGTTATTAACCCTGTTTTTGCTTGTGTGCCTGTGGTGCAGATTGTAGGTGGTGAGCATAAATGTAGACATGGTCAAAGATAATATTTCTGTTGCGGCAGGGAGCAGATGATAAGCTGGATGGGAGCATTGGGTTCCCATGAACAGACACTAGGCAGAAGTAACATGAACAGACCAAGTCAAAAGTAGTTTTGACTTGGATTATAAATGTCCTTTAAAGAAAGGCTGAAGAGTTTGGACTTTATTTTTAAAATAGTGGGAACCCATTAAAGGTTTTTAAATAACAGAGGAGACCTTTAAAATGTCACATTTGTCCTAAGTCAGGTTTTTTGCATTTTTGCCCCCTCTCCATCCCCTGGTATTGGGGATGAAACCTAAGGCTTTTCCATACTATTCATGTTAGGCAGGTACTCTACCACTCAGCTACATTTAGCCCAGCTGCATGTCAGCATTGTGAAAAACACCTTTGGCTTCGTTGGCAAATTTAGACTCTCTCAGGTGCTATCCTCTGATCTCCTCTCATGCTTGCTGTCTGGCCCAGCTCTTCTACCCAAGTACTGAACTCTTCTTTTCCAATCTTTTGAGAAATTTTGCTCCAGTATTTTCCGATTTTATTCCACAGTCATCAGTCAGTCCTTGTCTGTGACTTTACCTTGTGATCTTCAGAAATTGTGTCATTTCAGGAAAAATTCTCATTCTCTTCTCCCCTACTGTTTCTTCCTTTATCACACTTGTTTGTTAAAGGACCACATCCTGTCAGACCTTCTTTTATCTCTCTAATACCAGTCCACTGCCCACAATATTCATCCTCCTTTTTTTGAACCTGCACTCTCCTAGCCTTAGCTTTTAATCTCTTACTTCCCTAAGTCTATCTTTCCCTTTACTTGGAGAATTTTCTCTCTCTGAGGCTTTCTGTGTTCCAGTTTGCTGGATCTCCATTTGTCTGAGTTACTGTGGTATGCTATAGTACAGTATTCGATTACAGTATCTTTCATTGGTGTCCTAGTTGTTTTGGCAAAGATTTGGATTATCACTGTAGGGACCATAAATAAAGACAATAAATGCTTATAAATTGATTCAGCATTTCTACTTTTATAAAGATTGCTGGAGCCAGGGTTTATCTTGGGAAATGCAGAATTCAGACATTTTATTGGTATCCATTTGTGAATAAATAATGATTAAATGAAGCAAGTGTGATAGGACCTACACCTGATAGAATCTTAAAAACAATATTTAAAGAATTAGGTTATGGTAAAATTTAGAATATACTTGGAGAACTTACATACTTTACAAAAATAGCTATTATTGTAGTTCTGTCACTGATTAACAAAATTCTATTAAGATATTAGATATCACTCATAATTGTGATTGTTACCAGCACTTTTTTCTTTTTTGTCTTTTTGAGATAGGGTCTCCCTGTAGCCCCAGCTGGCCTGGAACTCACTATGTTGACTAGGCTGGCCTTGAATTCAAAAACATCTGCCTGCTTCTGCCTCCCAAGTACAGGGACTAAAGGTGTGAGCCACCATGCCCAGCTTGTTACCAACACATTTTTTGAGGGGGGAAGCATTTCATTACACCTTTAACATACTCAATAACAATTTCCAGAGCAAAGATACATTTCTTTCAAAAGTGGCTATAAAATTTTTAGGTTCACAGTTGAATTAATACAGTTACACAATATTGAACTGAGTATAAACCCTGTAAGACATAAAATTAAATGAGTTTTTAACCTTTAAAACAGATCTCCATTTCATTTTAAAATACACTGTTTCTTACAGAAATGCTCATTGTTTTTGCTAATAACACTTAATTGTTGGAGCACATGTCTCTAATCTGTATATATCTGATTATTACTAGTCATGGTAGGTTGCACTCGGATCCTTGGCACCTGTGTATGGATATAAAGTCATCGGGTAGATTTCATTGGTAATGTTTATCACCTCTACTACTTAACATGATGTTTATTTTTATGCTTCCTCCTCAAATATCTCATTTTTTAATTTGTTGATTTTTTTGTGTGATAGTAGAACATCCCAAACAATCTTATTCATCTATATACCCACTTCCCAGATGGTACCCTCCCATAGCCTCCCCCACTCACTAGAGCCCTTTATACTCTGTGTTCCCTGCTACTGTCTGCTGTGGTATTGGCACCCCCAGCTGTTCCCCAGTACTTGTCCATCCGGTGAAACTAGTCAGCCTGTCTAGAGGTCTTTGTTTTAGGAAGGTCAGCTGTTCCTCATCTAGCAGCAATCAGTTGTCAATATTCCTTTAGATAAGATTATGGTCTGCTGTTCATTTTCCCAGTTCTATGCTGGGTTACTATCTGGGAGTCTCTTGGCCCACCCTGGCGAACAACTCAAAAGAAGGTATCTCCTATTTGGCATTGTTGCTTGTTATGTAGCCTATAGCTAAACATACGGACTCTAAAAAAAATTATATTGGCCCCTTTAATCTTTGGTTATACTTTCCTTTTTGGGTGCTTAAGGCCATACAATAAACCAATTTATTTTTACTCTTAAGGCCATTTGAGGTTCTGTTCCTCGGGGGTCACATGGGCTTGGGAGAAGTCCCTAGCTCCTTTCTTTTACCAGGTCTTCCTATGTGAAGATAAGTCAAAGGTCCTACTTGACCATGGCCAGCTTTGCTTGGAAGCATGGAGGAAATATTTCCTCTGTGTTGATCCTCCTCTTGGTAGACTGGACACTGGTTCAAGTCCATTTTGTGGGGTCTCCACAGCCTCCTTGATCAAGAGGACAGGTGACTTGACATTTTGAGAGATGCTCATAGTCCCCTGGAACTAGTTGACCTAGGAGGGCAAGGAGCAAAAACTGTCCTTTATGACCCTCTGACCAAATTAGGATAGGCCTCAAAGTATATTTGTTAAACATCCAAGAAGGTTAGTTCCACCAGTCTGGTACTTTTAATTACCATGTGCCATGTAGATAAAGCATGGGCAAAGACCAGTTGTTTGCAGATAAACCTTGTCTGGTCATATATTTCTTGATCTGGTATGTATAATTAGTCAGTAGGTTATTGGACTAATATGGCTACCTCTGGTTTTTAATACTAGCTAGGCATTATTTATCTCTCACATTGTCTAACCCCTCCATCATGGTTTCCCCCAATTAAGGTGCCCCCATTTTTCCCATTTCTCCCTTAATAATACCCTTCTCCTATGGTTCTACCTCTCTTGAGCTCCTTCTTTCCCTTTATCCCCTAGGTTCCTTGAATACCCTTCCCTCCTCCCTCCCTTAAACTAACCCCATTTTTTTCTGTATCTCCCTTATTAACTCCTGTTTCCTGCTGTTCTCTTTCAGATTCTTTGTTTTCTTTTACCTTCCTGGTTCGTTTTCATTATCTTGGTTCATGTAGTTATGTCTGGTTACATAATCAATTATCAGGATTTGGTGCTAGGATCCATATATGAGAGAGAACATACATCGGTTTTTTTTTGTTGTTGGTTTTTTTTTTTCTGAGTCTGTATTACTTCACTTAATATAACAGTTTTTACTTCCATCCATTTACCTGCAAATTTAATGATCTCATCTTTCTTTGCTGCTGAGTAAAGCTCCATCGTATAAATGAACCACGTTTTCATTATCCACTCATCAGTTGAGGGACACTTAGGTTGCTTCCATCTCTTAGCTATTGTGAAAAGAGCAGCACCAAACATGGATGTACAAGTGTCTCTGCAATAGGATGAGTTCTTTGGGTATATGCCAAGGAGTGGTATAACTCGGTCAAATGGTAGGTTCGTTTGTAGTTTTTAAAGAGTTCTCCACACTGCTTTCCAAATGGGTTGAACCAGCAATGGATGAGTGTTCCCCTTTCCCTACATCCTCTCCAACATTTGGTATCATTTGTTTTCTTGATCTTAGCCAGTCTGACTGGGGTAAGGTGAAATCTTAAAGTGGTTTTAATTTGCATTTCCCTAATTATTAGTCATGTTGAACATCTTTTAAGATGGTCTTAGCCATGTTTTCTTCTTCTTTTGAGAATTCTCTGTTCAGCTGCTTAGTCCATCTTTTAATTGGGTAACTTCCTGTCTTGATTCTCTGTTTTTTGAGTTCATTATATATTCTGGATATATATTCTGAATGTGTTAATAATTTCTA